CGAAAGGTGGTGGTGGAAAACCCTTTGTCCAGGGGTGGACACACACACACAGCAACCCAATTTGAGAGGCTGGCCAATCAGTTGTTTCATGAGTCAGTCTAGGCTTTTGCTGACCTTAAGATGTTTGTACATTTCATTTCAGATTCAAGTGTTTTCCTCTTGTGAAAAGGGGACATCTTTGCAGTACCCAAAGAGATGTATTGTATCATTTTGTATGCGCTCGAAACTTGTCCATACTTCTTATAGTCAAATAAAGCAAAATGAAACTGAGCGAGTGCTATAAATTATTCCCGGCCTTTTTTATTATTTTTTTGACAAACGGTTTGGCTGAAAGCGTCGTTTTCAGCTGAAGCAATGTCCCTCTGCAACGCGCAATTCTTTGGCTCAGAGGTGGGTGGACAAGATGAAGAGTGGATGGCCGTCAGACTGCCTGGTTGACTTGTAAATGGACTGACTTTTAGGACACGAAGCGTGTCACTGCACCAAATGTTTGGAACTACCGTTCATTGAAATTGTTACGTTTATGTTATTTTTAACTGCGTGTTTTTTTGCAATTTTTTCTTTCTCCCTTTTTGACTAGCAGAGCCTTTACATCTCTGAGTGGTAAACCAGAGCTCAGCGAAGTTCATCCACGCAAACACCAGACGGCGCCGACTTTTTGAAGGATTTGTCGTTGACAACGCATGGCTTGAAAATCAATGCGCAGACCGCAGACCGCCTGAGATTGATGTGATCATCGACATTGAAGAGGAACAGAAGATGCCCTTCAACCGATTTGACCATTGTTTTGATAGGACAAGATCATATTTTGGTTGGTTGGTGATCCAAAATAGAGTCGTCACTCAGGTTCTATTGATGCGGGTTTGTTGCAGCAAGTATGGTGAACAACACCGATCGACCCAGTAGGAATTAGGTGTCCACTGATTTACTCTCTCTTCTCGGTGCTAGCCACTTGTTGGAATTCGCCTCGGTCATGTGAGCAGAGTTTTATGTAAAGATTTATATTGGGTTAACCTGCAAATGGTTGGATGTAGGCATGCTGCTTGGGGGCGAAGCTTGGCTGGCGGCATTTGACTGGCATCGGCTTGTGTGCCGTGGGTCGAGAAGATTCATTTGAGAAGTCATACTTATTACCCATAGACTCCATGGGACTGCCATAGGATCATAGGACTGCCGATCAATTGGGGTGGTTTGGGAGGTCAATGTAGGCATTTATGGCAGTCCCATGGAGTCTATGGGTAATAAGTATGACTTCTCAATGCTACCTGGATAGGAGTAGGCAAGATATTTAGCAAAACCAACACGCAGTGGCTAATGGAGTAGAGAACCATGGGACATACCACAGGTTGGGCCAACATGATCCAACATGTCACGAAAGCTATTTAGTTCTCACTACTTCTTTCTGCTCTTCTTGCCCTCCTCTTCTCTAGGTGACGTTTGGCTTCGACCTTGCAACGCGCCGCGATAGTCAAGAAACAACATGTCACGAAAGCTAACGTCAGCTAGCTGGAGTTACTCTTGCTTTAGCAAGTCATTGGCTGGGGGATTGGAATGACCTACCCAGTGAATAATACATAGATTCCCCCCAGACTTATGTGTTCAGACCGGTGGAAACTGCTTAGTGTAGTGCACTCTGACGAACACATCATATATGATGTGCAAGTAGTATGGAAGTAGTATCGAGTCGCAGATGACCACACCAATCATTGGTGGAACACGTGACACAAACAGCCGACAACGGAGGACTGACCAGAGCGCCGATCACAGCGGATCTGCAGGATTGCTTCCATCCACCAGAAAAAACACAACATGAATGGTGGGTCTGGAGGATTTTTATACTGGCCTCAGTGAGATAGGACTTGTGTAGCATAATTGAGGTACATGACATAGGACTTGCTGCCAGAGCCTGTAGTATATATATAATAGAATATATATAATATATATATATTTATATATTACATAAAGTTTATACGATGGCATGGGCCAGCTGGGCAAGCTGCAGTCTCTCTGGCTCATTGTAGCTGAACAGATCATTGGCCTCATTGACATGGATGAATCGCAGGAAGAACCGATCCTCAGGACATACCGACATACCCATGGGTCATCACATAGAACCTAGATGTCCTGCCACGCTTTCTCCACCAATCCCTGATGATGACCAAAGATCCCAGCCACAAAGTCATAGTCATAGTGTTGTAGAGTCTAACCTCTCTGGGAGGGATCCAGAAATGTCTCCATTCCTGAAAATGATCGTGCTGGGAGAAGACCCTGCGATCCAAGACCTTCGGCCAGGATCTGTGACTTCTGCCGCTGTTAGACCTTCTACTCCTTGGCCCAACTATAGGCCCCCAGTCGACTTCTTCTGCCGCCCATGGCGGAGACCGAGTGGTGGGACCTGCCTTTGGTGCCGGCCGCGGCCGGCGTGGCCGGCGTGGAGGACCGTAGCCGCTTCCTGCGGCTGCACCGGGCACCACGTGGGGGGCGAGCCCATGGCACCGTGGTTGTGCTCCATGGAGGCGTTGACCGGTCGAGTCGTTTGGAGGATGGACACTGGAGACACATGCGAATGACCAATAGATTGACGTTTGTACATGCCTAGCCAACGGGTGCCCTGTCTGGGGTGGGGTAGTCTATTGGTCACCCATTGGATGATCCTGGTGTACAATCATTATACATATATTACTTTTAAAGAAGCGCGCCGTCTCATTTTTCTTACGAAGTCTGGCCCGGGCCCCGTAGAGATGAAGTCCACACAGTCTGTGGTTCATGCGGCATGACATCAACCAATGTTACTATTATGTTTAAGAAAAAGTGAGATCATATGGTAGTGTTCACGTATCTTTGGTTTCTTTGGTCTTGTTGGTTTCTCGCGGTATTTATGTGGAATGTTTCTGTTGTAGTGCCATGGACCACTTCCTGTAAAGGCTTTCTTGAAAATGCATGGCAGAATAGCATCCTAATGGGTGCGCGTGCCTTGCCTGCTTCTCAACAAACAAGTCTCATGGGGACCGGACACTTCTAAAGACCCACGTGTATATTATATCCTACATGTGGATGTGTATTTTCATAGAGAGCCCCCCAACCAATGGGTAGACTGGTCTATTGACCTTCTTCCAGCGGGTCTTGAGCTTGGAAGCATGAGGGCTTTTTGGGTGACCTGGGTGACCCACTCTTGATTCCCAATTGAAAATTGTTCAGAATTGTGTAGACTGTAGACGGGTAGTTTCCGTGGTGTCTTCAGCACGTTTACCGTTTGCCTATCTTCGTCCAGGCTACTGGAAGAACAAGTTTGGCCTGGATGACGCCTATGGCAATGCCGGCACCATCAGATTCCTGGCTTGGAAGATGGGGTCGATAAGGCGTTTGGGTGTTGAGTTTCGTGATTGGTCATGTGACATACACCCAGTAAATCCAGTACTAGGATGGAGACGTGATGGATTCTCAAGATCCACATACTGTCTGATGTTGGCTGGGGATTTCTAGAGAGTTCAACGGCATTCTGTGTCCCACAACAGCTGGGACGACATTCTGACGACCCCACGTCGGACCCTGAAAACCCCCCCACGTTGGAGTCCGGGTCGACGAGTGCAGCACTCTTTCCCGCCGTGGTCACCGTCAGGGTCGGGTCACCAGGGCCTGCGGTGCCGGGTCTGCGCCCCGCCCTCGGCGATGCAAGCAGGCCTGCATCGCTTCTTTTGGGAGAAGGGCTTCTCGGCGGTGGAGGTGGAGTACCGCCGCCGCGACCATCCCGGAGGTGGTTGGCCTGGCACCAACGAGGCAGAGGGAGCGAAGCAGACGGAGGTTGCATGGGGTGGTTGGTTCTTAGCAAGCACTCTTGGGACTCTTGGGGGCTGCACGCGAAGTGGAGACATGGGTTGACTGCAGTTTCTCCACCTTAATTAATTATGTAGGAAGCATCTTGAACCTGAAGATGTAGCTGAACCGGGAAGACCTTGAAGGACTTGTAGCTTGGTGTGATTTCCAGCGTACGAGGACTCATTAAACAAACATGAAAATTCCTGGATGTGCAATGTAGCTTTGATTCAGTAAAGCCATACATTTTCGTATAAAAACCAACTCATGGAGATTTAGACCGGAAAATGGAGCCCTGTCCTGCCGCCACAGGACCCACGTTTTCAAACACCAAACCCACGGAAACAGGGGTCCATTTTGAGGGCTATTCCATGTATAGCTCTGCATGTGCCCAGCAAATGTATGCATCTTTTTTCCTGAAGGACGAAACTATCCGGAAGGACGACGAGCTATTCCAGTCTTTGGCACTTCCTGATGAAAACAAGAGCATTGGACCAAGCATTTCTTCGCTTTCGAGGACATCCTGAGTGCCTTGACGCGGATCTCGCAGCTGAAAGCAGAAGGCTTGGAGGAAGGTCTGCCGCTTTCTCCTCAGCTCGGTGTCATGGCTGAAGTAACGACCTCCTCGTCGTCGTCTAAGACGGGTGGCACCCTTTCGTGATCCCATCTTGACCGGGTTCCCGATCTTCTTCGCATCGGGGGAGGACATCGATCGTGGGGTTTTGGTGGGCGGTCAATTTCGTGAAGCGATCGCGTGACCCGGGGCCCACAATCGCAAAAGAAATTACGTGTATGATCATGTATGATGGTCTGTAGTACCGTATACTAGACTCCATGGGACTGCCAAAGGACTATCGATCAGTTGGGGTGGTTTGGGGGGTCAATGGATCGGCATATATGGCATACATGGAGTCTATGGGGTAGGGAACTAGACGCTCTGGTTTAGCAGTAAGTGGAGCCTCTATTTCTTCTACCAGCTTGCCATGTGTTTGTCGAGCTTTCGGTTTTTGGAGGAGGGGACTTTTCAACGGGTGTGTTTTTTGATTTGGATTTGTATCTTACATTTGTCAACCTACAATGATCTTCAATGAATGTGTTCATTTTTCAGTAAACAACATGTCCATCCTTTTTCAGTCTACACTGATGAACACATCATATGGAAGTGGATGGCATGGTCCCGAAAGGAAGAATCTACTGTTACTTTCCTTCTTTATCTACGAACAGGGGGCGTGCCATCCACAAACGCATCTTCGTTCGTGCCCTTTCGCATGTCTATGTCGTACGTGAAGACTCATCAGACCGGTTCGATGCTCCGTCGGACTCCGCAGCGAGGTGAAGCGATCCAAAGCTTGCGTGCCTCGGTCTCGGTGAGAGTCTCCCGGTCTATTGGGGCCAGACCGGGAGCGCGGAGCACGCGCGGAGCGGGAGCACGCGCGGTCGGGGTGAAACAAAAGACACACCGAAGTGGGTGAAGGTGGAAGTTCTCAGGCTTTGAAGAGGTTGGACTTTCATCTACAGTGCTTTCAGAGTGCACAATCCCCAAAAGGTCGGTGGTGAAAGAATGGACCCCCATCTGTCAGATAGACATCTTTGGGTGTTTGGATGCCATTTCTCACCTCTGAAACGACTGTAGGATTTGAGGTGCTCTTCGCATATCATTTTTTTCCCTCTCAGAAAACGACTTCACTGGTCACAGGTCCAGATTAACTGACTTCAAAGCTGGAATTTCAGCTACCAGCTCTGATTTCAGGCACTTCACTCTGTGTGCAGAAGAACTGTATTTGTTCGTTCTTCTTCACTGGGCCTCGTGAACTGCGTGTGGACCGCGTGGACTGCCCCTGGTAGTGCGTTCGAGTCACGAACTTTGGCTGTGGGTCAAAATCGAAAACACCCGGGTTTTTACCACAGACAAAAACGGGAGGTCAACCTACCAAGGATTAGGGCTCTGGGTGCCATGACCCACAGCCATTGGGCTTCAATGCTACGCGCAGTGCTTTGGGCGACATGTGCGAAATGGGCCTTGCTAAGCGCGCTGATGGCGACCAGCCCAGTGGACTAGTCAGACGGTGACCTGTGACCGGGACCACTGGACCCCCAGTCGGGGATGGTTAATGAACATCCCTTGACCTCTTTTCGGGGCTGTCAATGGACACCCTTTCCCTGGTGCTGTATTGAGTAACATGTGTGTAGAATTTAGCTTTGTTACAAAAAGGTTCCATCAAGCATGTATCGGCTGCAGACTTGCATGTGGACACGTGGACTTGCATTTTTCTCATACTTTCTCTAAGCGGCAGCGGATAATCTGTGTGTCAATGGTTTGTCAATGCTTTTTCTCAATGGACCGTTACGTTCTTCAGACACACCATTCGTTGCTCCTCTGTTCCTCCCCGCTGCGCACTGCACATGACTGCACACCGCATGGCAAGCACCATGTAAATTCATCGGGCAAGCACCAACTACTTGGCGGTTTGGAATCGGCGCATGTGGAGGTTTCAATCACCGGAGGACTCTTTGGAGCGGTTTTTTTCCCCGTTCTTTTTGCCCAAACAACCGCACTCCGGCTGCGCCTCGCGCAGGCCCCGAGCGGCTGATTCTGCTGGGCCACTCCGCTGGCGGCTGTTTAGCCCTGTGGGCCGCTCAGCGGTGGAGTGGCACCGCTGGTGCAGTGGCACCGCTGGTGCTGGCCGCGGCGCCGGTGGCGGACTTGGTGAAGGGATATGAGACTTAGAATGGAAGGGGGACGTGGAGGAGAGTCGGCAGTGCGGACTTGGAGTGTGTAGTTGTTTTTCTGTTTCCGTATACGGTGGACAAGACGTGGATGGGTGCTGAAATTGGGATGGCTGAGTTGGTGTAGGGGAAATCGAGATTGTCGTACTTGGTTTTACTTCGGGTGACGTTTTGTTTTCCCTATGGATGACTTCCCTTCCGGGGAATATGTTTATATATGGCCAGTTAGACTGCAAATCATCCACGTGTCCAGTGTATCATCTCATACAAGATATTCTGGATGTTGGAGGGGGTTCATTTTGGTTGCCCCAATAAGTCTCACGTTGCCTTCTCCACGACGTGCCGTGTCCGCTGATTCGTGTGTCCAAACCCTGCAGTTTTAGGTTTTTCTTTTCTTTTTGCATACGCCTGGCAGCTTCCAGGATGAGACTGGAGGTGCATAGTTACCTTGGCATAGCAGTCTTTCCATGTCTTTCCATCTTTGTCATACAGTGTTCAAGAATGTTTAAGACCATGTAACACCGTGTTGTTGCCCACTCACGATCACACTTTTCAATGCTTGACCTGACTCCTTTATTTGCCAACAAGAACAGGGTGACCCCGAGACCCCTGCCGAACGGTGTCAGATTGAGGAGATGAAGGTCTCAGATGAAGGCGATGCTGTGGAGTTGTATATGATGCTCGAATGAACAGCTGCGATAGTTACAGGCCTTTGTTTCACGCTGGTCACGCTCATTCTTCCAAAAGCACTGGCACGTCTCTGGCGCATTTTGTGGGGCAAGTGCCGGTGTCCTTCGTTTATTGTTTTCTCTTCATGAATATTCAGAACAACTTCTCAGCGAACAGTAAATCCTGTTGAACATGATTTCCTGCAGGAACTAGGGGGTAAGCTGCACTTCCATTTTTCTTGGAGGGAGGGTAGTCTGCACTGCACGGCTTCAACGAAGGAGAAAGAGATGCGAAAGCGAGCAACCTCACAACCCCCCCAAAACCTCAGAAGGTACGTCTGACAGGGACGGAGAAATTCAGAGAACCTGGCTCATCGAGTGAAGGATGTGGACAGGTGGATTAGGGAGAGAGAGGGTGATTGATCATGGAAGGAGAAAGAAGGCCTTTCTCAGGTGTTCATCTCGCTTATTTTGTTCTTCCCGCTGGACGGGTGGAAGCCATGCTTCGAACTGAGATTTGACTCGGCCTTGAATGGCTTGGGCGTAGGTGCAGGCATCATGTGACATGCCCTCGTTGTAAGATCATGAACGGCTGGACTTTGCAGGCTTTGCAAGTAGGTTGCAGTCATCCGAAACGGGAATCACCCAACTACCACCTGCTTTGAAACAACAAAAACTCCTGTAGAACAGAATCCTCATCAACTGCTGAACTTACGTTGGACCAACCAGAACTCCACTTGGGTTCTTCTTTCCAGCTCCTCAGGAAGCAGCCACCGACCTCTGAGAGTGCTCTGGAGGCCTATCGATTGGCCTCCCCAGCCGCGAACCTGCCAGTGAGCTTCCCACTGCTCATCGTCTATGGTGATGCGGATGCCGACGTACCTCCCGAGCTCGTCACTGGGCCGCTGCGAGAAGGCGAACGGGCGCCCGCGTGAACCGGCCGCTGCGTCCGGAAGAGGACGCGTTCGCACTGAAGTCTGCTGATCCGGAATGTGAGGCCCTTTTGGCTCCTTGGATGGGATTCTTCTTCTCTTGCGGTGTATGCGGTTGAGTAGACGAAGAACTTGGGAAGAGCTGACTTGTTTTGACATTGGGGCACCCAATGGAAGTGTAGGCTGGACTGGTGAAGTTCAGGTTCAATTGGACGGGATGGTGATTCTCACGATGTTGAATCCCGCTCCCCCTACACTACATGTACACCCTAACATTGAACACTGCCTTCCCGCAAACAGAGATGCACTCCGAAAAAGGTGATGTACTCACCCTCACCCAGGTGGATCCATTGGAGCGGATCGCTGCGTCCATGCCTAGGTCAAAGCCTATGCCCACGCGGCGCGCGCTGGAGCGCCCGCCCTGGTCTCGGTGCTCGAGATCTCCCAGGCCGACCACTTCCAGGTGGTCGACGCCACCAGCGACGCCTGGCGCCAGGCGCGACGGACGGGAGGTCAGATGAGACTGGGTCGACGGGAGGTCAGGTTGGATGGGGGTTGTTTTGGAGGTGAACGAAAGTGAGAGGATGATGAGTGCAGTAATTTGGTGCAACAAGTATACTTTCATTTAGTTTAAAATAATTTTACCAAGAATGGTTGAATATGGGACAAATTGGAGTTCGACATAAGTTTGTGCTGTGAAGAAGATTTGGGTCTTGAGAGGGGGACCGACGGTCGTTTGATTGAATCTGATGGCACATGTGGGACAGGATTGGTGTCACTGAAAAACACAATTTTCCATAGTTGGTGGACCCGATCCTACTACTTGCGGTTGATCCCAGGCGGTGTAGGGCGTGGCCTTAAGAAACCTTGTCCCATCGGATCAAGAGGTTAAGTGAACCAAAAATGCAAATCGAAGGCATCAGGGACCCTTTGCCAACCCTCTTTGTTGGGACTTGGAAGTCATGTGATTGGTTTGTAATGCAAGCTGTTTTGCCTGCAAAGCTGGTCCAATCGAATTCGATTTCGCCTTGACTTCGTTGACTCCTTCCTGCGTCAGGACTCGAGGGCCGGCTTGATTTCGGGAGCCATACGAACCTTTCCTTCTTGGGCGACGTATTTTCTTCTTCAGAGAATCACTGGGGCGACCAAATAGTTTTGAAGTACCAAAGCAGACCACCCACCCACAGCCCTCAGCAATCCCTTGGACTTGCTCCTTTTAATGTGAGTCAGACTGATGGTTTTCCATGCACCAGCGCTTTTCTTTGCATGGGAGTGTGGTAGAGTTCACTGGCTTTTGGCTATAGGTGTTGCGACACTACCCACAAAGTTAGCATGCATCAGCTAATATATAGCGTCGAAAATGAGAGTGTACCTGATCATCTGATGGGGTCCGGGCCCATGGTTTGAGTCTGTCGCAGAAAACCTGTCACAGTCGTTTTGGGCCTAAGAACCTCATTATATTTAGAGCTCGGAAGACCTGCAACCAGGCCCCATCATCATCCACTGGGCCCTGCATGGCCAAAGGATAGACCGTCTAGCCATGGGGCCACAGGTCGGATCGCCCCGGCTCGCCAGGCCATTGTTCCGGCCTTGGCCCAACTCGTCCGGCAACACTATGGAGAAGAAGCGGCGATGGCCCTGGAAAGCAACTGAAGCACATGTGTTGTGCTGGAAAAGGCCCAGAAAAATGGTCCTGGCGAAAAGCAGCACATGTTTGCAACTGGGATCCCGTTTGGCCTTGTCAAAATGATGCTTCTGGGTGTGCCTGCCGGAGAGTGGCCGCTCCGTTGTTTGGTGCTGAACGACTGGGCAGATTTCTGCAGCAGAATTGGCTCGAGGGGCCACACATCCTTGCGGGGTGGGAGGTTGGATGTTTCCTCCAAAAACGCGGAGAAACAAACATCAGACCATCTTCATTGCAAGCATCCGAAGCCAGGTTGTGAACACCTGCCTTACATGTTTCATTTTGTTCTACATGTGTTGTTTCCATAATCATCATCATCATCATCATCATCATCATCATCATCATCATCATCATCA